TCCATGTACCATCAGTTAATAGTATTTCTCTCTCTATTCACTTTAACTTTTTTTAAAAAAACAAAACACTCAGGCATATATAATAATTTACAACACCAAAGGGCACATTCTGCAAGTCTGCCTCTTGGCCGCCAGCTCAGTCCCTCTCTTTCCATGAATCTAGAGTCCTCAGCTGCTCCCTCTCTCCATGCCCCCATCTCTGTCTCCATGTCTGGTGTTGCTGCTTCTCTGGATTGTTGTTGTTAAGTGCCATCGAGTCGGTTCCGACCCATAGCGACCCTGTACAGGGTTTCCGAGGGTGTAAATCTTTACGGGAGTAGAAAGCTTCATCTTTCTCCCGCGGAGCGGCTGGTAGTTTCGAACCGCTGACCTTAAGGTTCGCAGCCCGATTCGTAACCACTACGCTACCACAGCTTCTCTGGATAGGGTCCCACATTTTGCTTGTACTCTTCTCCCTTGATGGGCCTAGGGTCTTCTGTTCCTGGACTGTAAGATTAACTACTCCCCCGTTTTTGTTACAAAACTTCTACCTTTATAATTGTGATAGTTGCAATTAATCATGCTATTACTCACTATTGCATCATAAGAATTTTATCCCGTCTCTTTTAACTAGACCCATCTAGACAAGATGAAAACTATTCAATGGGGATTCTTTCTTCCCCCACACACTCTTAAACTAAACTCCCTCTTGAAAACTTGTAAGCCAGTCACTTCGTGCTTTTATCACCCCCTCATTTTAGGTAGTCAATATCTAAGTTCCCCGTCCCTATCTACCCTGTGTACAGAAGGGATAGCATTGATACTTGATGTGAAGCCTCCTTCCCTGTTGGTATTTAGAGTCACTACCTCTATGAGTACAGGTCAAATTCATCAAATTGTAGCAATTTACCCTCGTTTCCTTTATCTAAAGAATTTTTTTTTTTTTTTTTAATCTTCCTCTAGTCAAGTTCTGATTATCAAGCCATCGAGGCTAGGTCAAATGAGTACTCTCTACAAGTTTGGGCATTCTTGTGCATCTCCCCTCACTTCATATCAGTTGGATGCTTCACTCTCAGCTCTGGCCTTCTGTGGCTATGTCCTTGTCCATGGTCTCAGGAGTCCCCAGGTCTCACCACACTTTGGACCAACCAGCCCTTCCTCTTCCCTCTCTCATCTCCAGGTCAACGGGAGGCTATGGGCCATGTTTGAACTCAGCCCATTTCTTCATTGCTGCCTTTCTCCCTCTTCTACTCACCAGTACACCAATGTGGTCGTCAGCCAGCTTACATGCCTGCTCATGTGTTCCCTTTGAGGTTCAGTCTTAGAGGGGGGTTGTCTGTTTTAATTGGATTACTTATCTCCTTCTTATTGAGGTGTTTTAGACAGTAGACCCTTGTCTGATATGCCATTGCCAACAAATTTTTCCCTGTCTATGGGTTCTCTTTTCATTCTTTTGGTGAAATCTTTTGATGCACGTAAGTGTCTAGTTTCTAGGTGGTCCCAGTCATCTTTGTTTCTGGTGTTTGTGTTGTTGTTATGTTTGGTAGTGTATTTATGCCATATATCACAACTCCTAAATTTGTCCCTATTTTTTCATTGGTGATCTTTATAGCTCTATATTTCACATTTAGGTCTCTAACCCACATTGAGTTCATTTTTATATATGTTGTGAGATATGGGTTTTGTTTTATTCTTCTACAAATGGAGTTCCAGTTTTGATATTACCATTTGTTGAAGAGATTATCTCTTCCCCATTTGATGTGTTTTGGTCCTTTGTCAAAGAGCAACTGAGCATAGGTGGATGAATTTACTTCTGGATCTATAAGTCTTTCATTGTTCCGGTACCAGGCTGTTTTGATTACAGTGGCTGTGTAGTAGGTTTTTGAGATTGGAACGTCAGAGGTCCCCTATTTTGTTCTCCTTTTTTAGTAATTCTTTGCTTGTCCTGGTCTCTTTCCATTCCATATAGTTAGTGGCCGATTTTTCCATCTGTTTAAGGAATGATGCTGGAACCTGGATTGGGATGGCATTATATCTGTAGCGAACTCACACAACAGCTGGAGAAATCCTCCCTGGACCTGGATGGGGGGCAGGAGAGACTGTCCCAGAGCAGGCAGTAGGGTGGGTGGGTCAGAGACCAGGGGCAATGTTGGCACCTCCCTCATGTGTGACTGCTGTGGTGTACCGAGTGCCCCCTCCCTGTAACATCAGCCCACGCAACAGCCACGTTCCTCCAGGGCCTTCGTAACAGGATCCCACCATTGTCCAGGGAGCTGTGTGCCCAGTTCAAACCCGCTTTCCCCTCCACCACGGCCTGGAGGGACCCCAGACTGCTCCTTGCTAAGAGATGTAAATAGAATTGTGGTGTTGGCCTTGTCTGCAGGAATCCCAGCAGCCGCCTGGGACCATGACATAGGTGAGTGTGGGGTTGACAGGAGCAGGGAGCTGGAGGCTGACCCCCTGACAGCAGGACAGCATCCCCTGGACACCGGTTGCTGTGCCGAGAGAGAATGCATTCTTATCTTGTTATTGGATCTCTGTCCCAGGCCACTAATGGAGCGGGAGCCATTTCTATGTCCATCTCCAAAGGAAACCAAAGCTCAGGTGAAGAGGCCCAAGAGACAGCGGGGTTGGGACTGGAGTGCATCAGAGTGGGGGCCTCTGGGGATCGCCGGGAGAACTCCATGTTAGGATGAAGAATGAATGTCTGGTTGGGGTTGTGGCAACTGTGTTTCCCAGACCTACAACTTCTGCTGGGGGGACAGGCCACCTCAGGTCTTGTGTCTGACACAGACAGGCTCCCTAGTGAGGAATGCCCTCTGCTGGGATTGGGGGGGGGGGGCTTTTCCTCCCAGCAGAGGAATCCCCTCTTCACCTTCCCTCTCCCGGAGAAAGCCTCCACCAACCGCTGGCCCCACCATAACAATGAACAGCCAACAGACTAATCCTGCAGAAAAAAAACAGAGGTTTATTTGCAGTAGAAACTACGGTCCGAGAAAACCCATCGGTAATTGTACAGTTTGTGTTCCGTGTGTGGTTGCTGCACACTGCGAGAACCTCCATCCCCGATGGGCATGCATCGGGTCCCTAAGTGTCCCCAGCTAAGTCCCAGGCCCCAACCCTAAGCTACTCCAGGGTACCCCTCCTCCTGCACCCCTAATCACCCTCCCATCGTGGTCAGTGCAAAACCAAACCAAACCAAATGCAAATTGCAAAGCAAACAAGAACAGAACCAAAATTCACAACACCGAGGGCTACACTTTTTTTTAATCCTCAGTACCCTTTGTTGGGCTGACTTGTGATGTGAGGAACTAAAACAGACATTATTTTCTTGTTATTATAAAATCTTTCCTATTGTTCACAGATACGTAACGGGAGATTAGGATGAAATAATTACAAACTTTTTTCCCCTTAAAATAACCAACAAGTCAAAACAATAAAGGTTCCGACAAAAGTAAACACAAGAAGGCTGATTTGCTCCCTGCTCCCTCCTCACTCCCGGCCGCACAGCTGAGCTGAAGGCTCCTGGGAAAGTGCTCGGTGCACCTGGCCGATAAGGATCCAAGAACGCTCCTCCCAGGCTGGCCTTTGCACCACGTGGTCCTCCTGGCCCCCCTCATATCTCCCACTACCCCAGGCTTGCTTCTCTGTACCCCTAGATGAGCGCCATCTTTCAGGGGTCCTGCCTCGCCTCTGAACCTCAGCTTGCTGGATGTGTCACTCCTATTTAGAGGCCTCAGGCTAACCACCCACCCAGCGGGGGCCAGTGTCCCCAATGCCCAGCCCTGGCCAGCCCACCCTCCTTACACAAGGACCGGGCACTTGACCAGAGAGCAGGCCCAGAGTACACAGCAGCTTTGGCAAAGAGCTCAGAGGAAGGCTGGCACTAGGTGTCCTGTAATGTGAGGGCAGAGAAAACGGGGTCTGGCCACGTCATTCAGAGGCCACAGAGGCCAGGAGACTCCAGAGAGGGAGGGGCAGGAGGGGGCAGAGGCTCCCCCAAGAGCACTTATTTCGGGCTGGCCATGGTCTGAGTTACAGGTGCAGCCCTTTGCAGAAAGACCTGGTAGGTAGGAGCTGGACGAGATATCCCAGGCAAAGGCCGAGAAGACCTGCAGGATCCAGGGAGCCCAGAGAGACCCCCCTGAAGGGGAGTGATGGAAGGCCTTCTTCCAGAGGAGAATGCGAGCCGCAGGGACCCAGTGAGGAAAAACCCCTGTTTTCTTCCTGACCCCTTTAGGGTCTTCAAAATCCAGACCTGCCTGGCAGCAGGATAGGCAGATCCATTCCTGGAAGTCAGGGGACGAGGAAGAACAGTATCATTGACTAGGAACAGGGTTGGCAATTTCATCGTTCCTTAAGACCCCTACCCAAGAGAGGGGCCTGCCTCATGGGGTCTCTGTCTCCCTGGGTGCTGAGAACAGTGTGGAAGTCAAGGGAAGTCCTGGGAATCAGGGTGACTGCACAGAACCCCTATAATGTTCTCTTCTTCTACACCCAAGCACAGCTGGGCAGAGCAGAGGTCACAGCTGAGAGCTGACCCGGACCCTCCTGCCTCCTGAGAACCAGAGCCTCGCCCCCGGAGTCAGAGTGAACAGCAGGCAACAGGCGGGCTGAGCAGGAGGAGCTGGGGTCTTCGTCCCCTGTCCCCAGCCCTTCCCAGCACAGCCTCCTGCGTCGATCTAGGCTCCTGAACACCGTATCAGCAGGACGGGGCAAGTAGTGGGCTCTGGTCTCTGCGGGCACCCTCCTCAGTGCTCTCGATGGCAGTGCCCTCTGCAGGGCTGGCCTAGATTCCCTCTATGTACAAACAGCACATCCTGTGCAGGCCACAAGGACACACAGAGAGAGGAACGGTTGACGGTGAGGAGGCGGAACACCCACCCCACCCCTACGAGCTGAGCTGCTGATTCCTGGAAGGTTGGAGGGCACTCTCTCTGGGTCACGGAGCTAGAGACCGACTTCAGAGCTGGAGCAACTCTTCCGAAGAAAATTCTCGAGTCCGGTCTGGGTTGCTGCTGTCATTGGATACCCTCCTCTTCTACATATGTCGAAGGAAACCAGCCAATCTGCAAGAGAAGGCAGGACGCGTGTGCACGTGTGGTGGGAAGCAGAGAACAGAAAGCAGTGCACAGGTAACTCAGAGATACCCATCAGGGAGTTTAAATATTCTAACTTACAGGCTTCAGAAAACCGATAAACAAACAGGGAGACAGTGTTACCAGAGAACTCAAAGTAGAAATGAAAGAAAATCCTCGAGAGCTAAAAATACAGTAAGTGACCATGAGAATTCAGTCTTTAATGGCAGAGGAGACAAGTAGACCACAAGGCGAGCAAACGAGAAGGTAGGTTAACAGATCGTCCGTAACCAGAACAGTGAGGAAGAGACAACAGTGTAAACACCAGACACTCATCGCTAAAGCTCTAACATCTGTGTGAATGGGACCCTCAGCTAAGAGGCGAGAGGCAATGAAGCAGGTACATTCATTCTTCGCTGGCTGCAAAGTTTCCCAAGCTCATGAAGACTCTCAAGACACCTAACAAAAAAATCCCTACAAATCCCACCTAGGATCAATTCAAAGACAATCAGACATAAGCTCACTGAAGTAACCCTGATGAAAACCAAAGACAAAACCAGTTTTGTTTTTTGCATGTAGCTCAGGGGAGAAGAATAGAGACATTTTCTTCCGAGAGTCAACATTAAGAGTTTCAACTGATTTTCCAAAAGAAATGAGGGCAAATGAGTGCCAGCAAAATGCTGAAATAGACCAGGTGCCAATCTAGAATTCTCTATCCAGTGAAAATAACCTTCAAAAATAAACTGATAGGAGGATTCCCTACGGAAATGAACCAGTTTTCCTTAGAAGCTGACTGATTCCTGAAGCCAAATTCCTAGGAAAGCTTTTCCTTACAGTAACTGTAGAAGAAATGATGGAATTATGGGTTAATGCGCTGGACTGCAAAGTCATTTGAACTGCAAGAACAGCGCTCCTCGGAAACCCTATAAAGGGTCGCCATGGGTCGGAACCTACTTGACGGCACTTAACAACAACAACATTTTTAAACCATGATGGAAATTACTGAATAGGAAAAGAGTTGCCAATGGATGCTAAACGAGCAGGTAAAAGTCTGATGGTGTTGTCAGGGGCCATCGAGTCGGAACCGACTCATAGCGACCCCATGCACAGCAGAACGAAACAATATACAATCCTGGGCCAACCTCACTACCGCTGCCACACTCGATGCCATCAATGATGCCACCTGGCCGATCCAAAAGTCTGATGAGGAACAGATTATTTATCTGCTCCTTATTAACGACAGTACTTTTATGGTGGGTAAGCCTGGCAGAAAGACATTCTGGTAGCGTAGTGGTTATGAGTCGGGCTGCCAACCTCAAGGTCAGCAATTTGAAACTACCAGCCGTTCCGCGGGAGAAGGATGAGGAGGCATTCTGCTTCCCATAAAGATTTACAGCCTCGGAAACCCTGTGCAGGGTCACTATGAGTCGGAACCGGCTCCACGGTACCCAACAACAACAACAACAAGCCTGGCAGAGACCACCTTCGCCAAGTGACCACAACCAACGTCACAAATCACAGGACAAAACAACATCCTATACTTCCTAATATTAAGCAACAAGAATCTGAACTCCCACCCTACTGTTTCTGCCAAAAATGTATAACTACAATCTAATCATGAGGACACATTAAACAAACCTAAACTGAGGAATCTTCAGAAATGCCACGATCATGGAAGACACTGAAGTTTGTGATTGTCCCAGGTAAGATAAGGAGCTCTGGTAGCGTAGTGGTTACGAATCAGGCTGCGAACCTCAGGGTCAGCAGTTCGAAACTACCAGCTGTTCCGCGGGAGAAAGAGGAAGCTTTCTGCTCCCGTAAAGATTTACAGCCTCAGAAACCCTGTACAGGGTCGCTATGAGTCGTAACCGACCACGGCATGCAACAATAACAACAAGATAAGTAAATACAGTTCAGGATGCTGAACTGGATCCAGGACCAGTGAAAAATAGCTACAGAAGGATTGTTGATACAACTGGTAAACTCTGAATACCAACACTTGAGGCGAAATAAATTCTTCTACATGGCCTTGTCTTGGCTCTTTTGAAAAGCCGCTGAGATTCCCCTCTAACAGCTGAGGAGCTCCCATTGCCCTAGTTTTTCATCCTAGATGGTTTGTTACTTTGTCCGGATTCATTGAACATTTCCTGGGCAAACTACTTGTGGCCTGATACTTTCTAGTCTGGGCTTGTATTTTTACCTTGCAGGGATTGGTCAATAGATTATGCAAATAGAGTGACTACAGATTATGCAAAGTGACTCTAGCCTACTATGTAAATTAAGCGTTCGTAGCCTATTGAAAGGGGATTGGTCAATTTGGCTGGTGGGCGTGTCATACTGTGAAATTGACAAGGAGTTTGTATATATATGCTGCACACAAGCCCCCCACTGGCTCTGAGGTTTTTCAGACAGGAAGGAGCAAGAAGCAGAGAAGAGAAAAGGCAAGAAGAAAGAAAGTAGCAGAAAGAACGGAGTGCAAGGAACCTCCTGAAAGAGCTGTTACCCCAAAGACAGAGAGGGGCTTGCAAGGGGCCCTGGACCTGCTTCTGGGCAGCTGCAGCCCCAGAGAAACTGGGTTGGGCTCATGCCTGCTTCTCACCACAGTGGGGATTTGGTTTCTTACTGCTGGCACACAAAACTCGGGCACTCTGCTGGGTAAGTACTGAGAGAGCTGGTCAAAGCCAGGTGGTCCAGAGGGGACACTGGGATAAGGTACAGAATCTCAGGTAGATAAGGAAGAGTCACTGGGCCCTGCTGGAACCTGGAAAGGGTATGTAGGGTAGAAGCAGCCAGAACCAAGGTCTTTCCCCTCCCACATCACAAGGGTGTAAGCTGGGCCTTAGACAATAGCAGAGGAGCCCCGTGAGGGTGACTGTTCTACCCTCAGGCCTGCTCCCTCCCTCCCTCCTGTCATCTGAGAGTGACCTGGAAACGGCCTGCTAGGCCTGTCTCTTGAAGGTGGCACAGAACAGATATGACGGTGTAGCTGCTTCCTAGCTACTTAGACCTCTGTGTGGCCTCAATTTCCCCACTGGGGCAAGAGCACCAGACAGCTGGGCTGCTATGTGAGCACGCAGGACGGCCTCGGTCAGAGGGCCCCGGCCACGCTGTGAACCTGCACAAGGCACTGCCCACTCACTCGCCCATTGGCCTCGCCCTTCCACCAGCCCTGGTCCCCGCCGACACGGCTGTAGATCTTCACCACGTCGCCTTCTCGCAGCGAGAGCTCCCGCATGTCCCGGGCGGCAAAGTTGTACCTGGCCACGGCCGTGCCGATGACGCGGGGCGTGAACACTGTGGGGGTGACAGAGCGGTGTCACACAGGGCACCCGGGGAAGGATGCAGAGCTGGGGACCAGTGTGAAGGTGGGCTTGGACCCCAGGGCTGCCCACTCCTCTGTGATGGCCCCTCTGGGCACGTGAGCCCCCACCCTCATGGAAAGCAGACACTTAGCTCCCTCATCAGCTGTGTTCATCACAGTGTCTGTACCCCGGGGGGGCCTCTGTCTCTGAGTACTGGGGTATCAGTGAAGTACCCCAGCCCAACCCCTGTCTCCTTCTGCCAGGGCACCTGGAGTTCTGCTCCCAACTTCTCCCACATTTCCAGAGCCCCAAACCAAACGAGGACCCTGCCAGAGCCAGCTCAGTTGGGACCCAGGAGCCCCAGAGACAGTGATTAGGACAGGGGTTTCAGACAGGTAGCGGGGGAGGGAAGGGGACTTTGGCTCTGGCAGCAGAAGCCCAGCCATGTCCCACACATCCACCCTGCCTCTGTCCCAAGCTGGTCACCCGCCCTGGGTTCTCGGCTGCCAGAGGCAAAATTCTCGAAGAATAATGAGGAATAGCTACAGAGAAGGCTGGGGAGCGGGTGTGAAGTGGGCATGTCTCAGAGGGGGTGTCCCCAGGCGCAGCAGCCCTAGCCCAGCTCCCACAACCTCCCCCCAACCCCCAGTGGGCTCTGCGGGAGGGCAGCTGGGGACGCTTCCGGGCAGGGCTGTGGGCAGCAGCGGTACCTGACCAGAAGGGAGCGGAGGAGCCCTGAGAAGCAAAGCTGAGGCCCTGAGGACTGAGAAAAGAAAAGTTGTAGGAAGCACAGGAAGCTGCAAAGAGCAAGAGAGAGCATGAAAGGGGCCGGAGCAGCGTCCACCGCACGCAGAGGCACGCGTAGGACTGCGGATAACACGGGCCCCACCCGGTCACCCCTTCTCTGTACACCTGCCAGGAGGCTGTGCCAGGCTTTCAGGACAGGACGGGGGCCAAGCCCTGCCCTTCCACCCATCCCCAGCTCCAGGAGAGGCAGCTGTCCCTCTCCGCCCTGCTTTGCCGGGATGGGACTGGGGGACGCAGCAGGCTTAGCAGACAGTCCAGGGCTGAAAGGCAGGAACTCTGGGTTCCATATCACTGTCCCTAACGCCTAGAGGCCCTAATCCCTGCCTTCTGTAACCATGGTACATTATCACAACCCAGCTCCCTCTTAGTGGGTGCTGGGGGCTCAGCAGGCATCTGAGGACAGAAGGGACCCTGCCCTGCTCTCCCTACCCCGGCTGACCTCCCGGCCAGGAGCCAGGGACGGGGCGGCAGCTCAGAGCAGGGGCTGAAGGGGCACACTATGCACCCATTTACTGAGGTGCTGAGACCCGAGCCCCAGGGACCACTGGGAACCCAGGAACGGGAGGACAAAAAGGGACAGCACCCTGATGCCTGCCCACAACCCCAGGAATGGTCTAGGGCAGCAAGGCCCAAGGGGGCCCCAGGAAGACTGCTGGGCAGGGTGGACGCTGGCCTTACCTGGGGACCGGCTGGAGGCCCTGGCGGTGGCGCGCTCCCGAGACTTGTAGGGGTACTTGAGCGTGGTGTCCAGCTGCTTGAAGCTCTCCTTGAGCGAGTGGTACTGGTAATATTCCACCAACTCCTGCGGGGACGCACGTACAGTCACCCACTGACCCCCCACCCCCGGGACTGGTCCTCTCCCTGCTTCAACCGCGGGGACCCGGCTCCTGAGCCCAAGACCCCAACACCTGGCCACAAGGGGTGTCCATGTGGTGAAGGCAGTCTCCCTCCCAAGGACTATCCTACAGGAGACATGGATGAAGAGGGACAAGAAGGCTGTTCATCCCAGGACACCAGGGACGGTGCTACAAACAAGGACACATCCCAGCATTGGGACAGGAGGCATTCCACTACCCTGAGGACAGTGTGGTCAGCAGCTTTGGTTTCCAAAAGTAGACAGAAAGCACACCTTGGCTGCATTCAGAAACTGGTCAGAGGCAGACCTGGGCATGACTGGGGCTTCAGCTCCAGACCACCCACTGCAATCCAGCAAAGATGGCAGTACACTGAGTCACACAAGTGTTGGGGTTTCCCAGCACATCAAAAAGTGATGCTGTCCCGAGACTATCACCTACGAAGTGTGCAAGAGCTGATGGGAAGCATTGAGGATGCGGAATACTTTCTGCAATTCTATGGCCACGTGAAGAGTTCTTAACACATACAACTTTAGCTATTGAGAAGAGAAGTGATTTGAAAGTCATTGCACAAGGACCACATCTGTAACGGGAGTCTCTGGGTGATAACAGTTAAGCACCTCATTTGGCTTCTGCTGAAACCTACACAGAGGTACCTCAGAAGTCAAGCCTGGTGATTTGCGTCTGGAAGGCCACCCTTTGAAAACCACATTAGCGGCACTATGGCTGGGACAACAGGGACAGTGTCGAGAGCCATGTGTGTGAGGTGGCCTTGTAGCTTGTGGCTCAGGCAGGAGGCTCAGTGTGAGGCCCCCACTCACTGTCCAGTGTCCACACCAGGCTCTGGAGGACAGAGTTGGGGCTCGAGCTGTGCTCTGGCCTGGACTGTCCCCAAGCCCATCTCCCTCAGTCTTTCCCACTCTGGGAAGAAGCAGGTCCATTCCCAGTGTAGCCCCTGCAGGACCACGTGGGAGTCGGGGGCACCTACCAAGAGGCTTTCAAACTTCTTTGCTTCCGTGATGTGGATCCAGCTGTCCTTCTCCACCACCTTGATGTGCTTCACCTCATCGTTGAACCTGGATGGCGGACGTGCACAGTCACTGCGGCAGCCCCCCAGGGCTCCAGGCTGGAGCAGGAAAGCCTCTCCCTTCCTGTCTGGCCCTCTCCACCAGCAGTGTCTGCTTGCCCACCAAGGCCCCACACCTCCTCTCACTGTGCTGTCCCTGGGCATGCCTGGCTGGCTTGACCACCTAGACCTGCCTGTGTCCATCCACCACCATCTGGACTTTATTGCTCGCAGGCATCCTGGTTTGAAGTATAAATTGTAAGTCCAGGCCTTGGAGGAGGGATGTTGGACTCCTTGGGGAGGGTTCCCTTTGACACCCACACTGCCACATACTTGATGCTGATGGCGAAGCGCTCAGCCTCGGCGGGCCGCTCCCGGACCAGGTAGGTGCCGCTGGCGTGGGCTTTCAGCAGATTGTCCGTCTGTTGTCTCTCCATGTTGCCAGCAAACCTAGGGGAGGTGAGAGGTCAGGCTCGGGGGGGCAGGACATGGTAACCACAGCACTGTGCTGAGGACTACTTGTAACTTGTCCAGGCAAACCAGTTAGGAAGTGGACAGAAGGTCCCTACGAGGAAGAGCAGAGGTGGTCACTCAAGGCGCAGTGACCACAGACGCTAGACATCCCAGGCTGGTTCTTGCTTCTGGAACCCTAGGACCTGCATGAGCCGACAAATGCAGCATAAGGTCAGACTTCTTGTCTAAAGTGAACTTTTCACTATTAAAAAGCAGCCGTATACCACCAGTCCCTCTGAGGGGTGGTTAATTCACTTGGCTGAAAGGCTGGGGATTCTACTCCACCCTGAAGTGCGTCGGAAGACAGGCATGGAGTCAGTTCTACTCTCACACGCGGGGTCGCTGTGAGGCCGACTTCACTGGGCAGCGCTGCTTTTGACATTCGTGTGTTGGAGCTCAGTGTTACCGCTGCATTAAAAAGGGGTTTGGTTCCTCCAATGTCAGCACCTGCTGGTCTGTTTTCGGGATGGGAAACAGCTGCCCGGGAAGGAAGGCTGGTCCAGGCTCCAGTCAGAGCAGAGGGAGGGGACGTGGGGCTGGGAGCTAACAGGGCACATCTATGCTGCCAGCCAAGGGTCTGTCCCCTGAAGTATGGGGTAACGTCCCTCATAGCCAAGGGGCCACCCCCACATCGAAGTCACCCACTCACTCACCAGGGATACGCAGTGTAGTCAATCTCCCGGGACGGTGGCCGGCTGATGGGCGGCTGATGGGAGAGAAGACAAGGTCAATGTCCAAGAAGGGACCGTCCAACTAAGAGGGGCCTGAGGAGCTTGTTGCTGGTCACCAACTCTCAGGTCAGAACAGGCTACACATGACCAGGGCCATTTGTCGGCTTCACCCAGCTCCAGAGGACCTTGAGGTCCCAAGGAGGGGCTGTGACTTCCCCACCTATGACTGCCAGCAAGAGGGGGCCACAAAGTAGGTGTCCAGGGTGACTATGCCAGTGGGCGAGGGAGAGCAGCTAACTGAACTAACTAGTCACCAGTGGGTAAGGCAGAGCAGCTAACCAAACTAACCAGTCATCAGTGGGTGAGGGAGAGCAGCTAACCAAACTAACCAGTCATCAGTGGGTGAGGGAGAGCAGCTAAACAAACTAACCAGTCATCAGTGGGTGAGGGAGAGCGGCTAAATAAACTAGCCAGTCACCAGTGGGTGAGGGAGAACGGCTAACTGAACTAACTAGTCACCAGTGGGTGAGGGAGAGCAGCTAACCGAACTAACTAGTCACCAGTGGGTGAGGGAGAGCAGCTAACCAAACTAACCAGTCAGCAGTGGGTGAGGGAGAGCAGCTAACCAAACTAACCAGTCAGCAGTGGGTGAGGGAGAGCAGCTAACTGAACTAACCAGTCACTAGTGGGTGAGGGAGAGCGGCTAACTGAACTAACTAGTCACCAATGGATGAGGGAGAGTGGCTAACTGAACTAACCAGTCACTAGTGAGCGAACGAGCGGGCAAGAGAGTGTGAGATGGAGGCAGCCGGTAACTTAACCAGACAACACAGTGGTCCACCCACCAGGCCTCACAGGCAACCAAAAACTCAGCAATAAATAAGAGGGGAAAAGAACTGATGTCCTTGAAGGGCGGTGTCAAGAACATGAAATATGTCATGGAAAGAACATGAAATAGGCCATGGACTGCGGGAGAATGAACGAAAACATATCAGAAGAAGAAGCGAGCGAGGATGACGAGACTTGGTCTTGTACTTTGGCCTCTCTGTTAGGAGGGACCAGTCCCTGGTGATGGTGTGTGGTTAAGGAGATGGTCAGCAGAAAAGAGGAAGGCTCTTAACAAGACGGGCTGACCCAGCGGCTGCACAAATGGGATCAACCAGCCAGGACTGAGGGTAGTGTGGGTACAGGCCCTGCTTTGTTCTGCTGTACACAGGGTCACAATGAGTCGGAATCCACTTGACATTGTAAGACCGCAGGATTTCTCAGCATGTCACAGCCGGTGGCTCCCGGCCAGGCAGAAAGGCGTATTCGCAGTGACAGCTCCTTCCTGGGGCGATGCCCACACAAGCCAGAGTCTACCACTCAGCCTCTTGCCTGCTGGCCTGAGACCTGCTCACCAGGCAAATGGGGAAATTGTGGCCCAAGTGGAACAGGGTCCTGAGCCAGGCCACCCTGAGTTAGTGGTCATTCTCCTGTTCCCTTGATCTCTCACCTGGGCAGACAGGCCTCAAAGATGTAAGGGCGGGGTCTAGGCCCACAGACCGGGGGCAGCCGGGGAAGTGTTTGGTCTTTTTCTATTTTTTTTGTTGGCAGAGGAGGTGTTAGACTATTTAGGGCTGATGTCTGGGTTCCTCTGCACCAGACAGGAATCTGCTCCACCCGGGAGGGGACCCATGCAACCGTTTCTCTCTGTGTGGTCAAGTCTGGCTCTAAGCATTTCCCTTCAGCCTCAGCTTCCCCTCTCAAGAGCTGCATGAGGTCTGAGGAGACGCTGAGACCACACAGCTGATGGCAGGCTCCACCCGACAGCAGAGCCCTCACATGCTCAGGGGCACAGGACCTCCTGACCAAGCTCCCTGCAGCTGCCCGCAAGGACCCTGACCACTGGGTGTGTACGTTCCAGAAGCTCATGTGGCCACACTCACCCTTGCGTCAACGGGGCAGGGTTTCACAGATGAACTTGGGAAATACCCAGACTTCCTGGTTTGTATCAGCCGACCCTGGAGAGAAGAGGGGGGTGACCAGGGGCACTTGGACGTGGAGCGTGGCCCACCCATCACTTCCCTGCTCGGACCTCTGAGCAGAAGGTGACAGGCACCCCATTCACAGATGACAAGACTGAGGTCCAGAGAAGGCGGCCCACTCGGAGCCTCTGCTAGAGTCCCTTGTCCTGTCTTGTACCTCGTTCTCTTACCTGCTCCAGAGCTACAAGTGGGACTGGGGTGGGCAGGTGGGGCTCACCTCCACTCCCTGTCCCATCTTCCAGTGTCCTCCCCCAGCTAGCTCTTCCCCAACCCCCACTTCCCTAAAATAGGAGTGGGCCATCCCTACAAGACCCCCAGGAAAGGACGACTCTGGTCAGACCTGGGGCGGGAAGGGACACTAGGCGGCAGGGGACCCTCTTGACTTCTGAGTTTCTGGTTCTGTGACAACACAGCCCCCCGACACAGATACTCAGGGACGTACATCCTAATAATGTGCCAACAAACCACAGATGCCAACCTCCAGGGCCCATGCTCCAGTGATTGGCCGGCTGGGGCCAGACACCACTCAGTGTCCATAGAAGAGGATAGAGGGCTTCGTGGGTCAGAATGGCAGCCCAAGTACCCTTAGACGGAGCAGGGCCTCGGGCAACTGAGGCAGGAAAGCTGGGGAGGGGGACCTCGCCTGTGAAGGAGGATATACCCCCAACCACGCCAAAGCAAGTTCCCGAGGAAGACAGGCTGGCTCCACCGGAATGCCCTGCTTCCCAGTCCCTTTCGTCCTGGTGACCTTTCACCCCAGCCCCACCCCACCGGGGGTGTGAGGACCCACCTCCCACCACTGTGACTCGGGGTCTCCTCGAAGCAGCTCCATCACGTCACCTGTCTGGAAGGTGAGCACCGGCTTCCCGGGGGGCGCGGGGTTGCCATGGTAATTCTGCACAGCCACCATCTTGGGACCTGTGAGACCAGGGAGGGCACGGGAACAGCTCACACGGTGACCCACCCACAGACACGGTTCCTGTACCCTCAGACTCCCAGGACTTGTGAAATATCGTATCGCAAACGTTTATGGATGAGCAGAGACTTGTTTTTAAACCAAACTTGGTGTGACTTCTCCCAAACACCTTCCACCTCTGGGATTCCAAGTTGGGGGACCCTCATCTTAGATATGGGGTCACCAGTGAAGAGCTCGCAAAGGTTGCGGTGGGGCCCTCAAATAGCCCTTGCTCTCCTGCTCTGAGAAGACGTGAATGTGGAATCTTCTCAGAAAGGTGGTCTCCAGCAAGACAGATTTGGGCCAATGGACGCCCTGCCCCTTGGGGGTCAACCCAGGAATAGCAACAAGAAGACTCACCTGGCCCTGCTCCGGAGGCATCCTGGGAGGAAGCAGAGAACAAGGGTGAGGGGCTCACCCTGGTGGGGGCTCCACGCACCTCCCACACTCCCCAGATGGGGCAGTTTAAGCAGCAGAGAGGAGAAGGAGGGGGCACATGGGGACCTCACAGACATTCAGTGATGCCTTCCCTGCATGGCCCCCCTGCCAAAAAAGGCCTTCCTCTTCCCTTTCCTCCTCCTCCAGGAAGCCTGCCCTGACTACTCAGCTCACAAGCAGCTTCTCTGCTGAGCCTGGACCCATCCCCATCTGAGCATCTGCTGCCTTACAATTCTCCACCACCACCCCCACAAGGCCTGGTGAGGGCCCCCGATACTCAGCAGAGCAGGCATAAAGCCCGCACCCCACAAATTCAGCAACTTCTCTGTCCAGGGAGGCTCTCACTCCACGGTGTCAGGCCACCCGATACGGACAAGCCAAAGGAGTGTGTGACCATGGTCAGGCCCCGGAGGCCATGCACAGGGATCCACACACCCCCATCTAAGGCCTGAAGGGTTGGATATCAGGCTATTGGGGTGCAGGGAGCAGGGGTAGCTGGGAAATCTTACCAGGTCTGCAGGAAAACCTGAAAAGAAAGCACAGAGGGTGTCAGGTGGGGGCCCAGGACAGGCGAGCTCCCCGGGGCTGCAGACACACTGAGCTGGATTCATGGCCAATGGTTTCTGAAGATAAACACTGAGCTCTGGTTTGGGGGATCCGATAGACCCGAGATGGCAAACAGGTTGGACTGTGAGTTGGGGGCAGACCTGAACTCGGCTGACCGGTGGTGACTGCCCCAGTGAATGACAGGGAGAGTCATTAGACACCCCCTGACCCTCCCCACCAGCCTTGGGCTCCCCAGTCACCCACCAAGGGGGGCTGCCTCCCCCCACGGATCCCAGTGAGGCCCCAGCTCCTGTGTGGCAGACCAGGCCTCACTACCACCTAACACTGCCCCATAGGTCATCTACCACATGACTGAGGTGACTGACACACGGGGACACCTGGACAGGTGTGAGACAAGGTAGAAACTTTCTGGGAGGGGTCAGCGGTGCTCTGGAACACCAACTTCTTTGTCTGCCCTGGCCCCATGGACAGTAAATAGTGACAAGGCCGTGGGCACAGCCCAACATGGAGCTCCCCAGGGCCAGTACTGGACAACTCATCCGAACTGTGGGCCACCAGGGAGACTGCTGGGACCTGCCCCAGATCAGAAGCGACTGGGCTGGGCAGAATGTCCCAAGCAGGGGGCTGCCCAAGGGCCCAAGTGAGTGCCCCACCAGGGTTTTAATAGCATGGAGAAATGAGAGCTTCCCCTCTCAAGAGCTGCATGAGGTCTGAGGAGACGCTGAGACCACACAGCTGATGGCAGGCTCCACGCGACAGCAGAGCCCTCACATGCTCAGGGGCACAGGACCTCCTGACCAAGCTCCCTGCAGCTGCCCGCAAGGACCCTGACCACTGGGTGTGTACGT